AAAAAGAGTATCAGCCCCCATACATGAGATGAAGAGAGAGAGAATGAGAGCTGATAAGAACCACGTTGACATTTCTGTTTTTAGATGAGAAAAATGTTCTTATCAGATATACATTTAAATAATTCATATTTGAATAAACTGTGTCATGTGGAGCATCTGCACATAGGGGGCGATGAATTGGAATTCAAAGATATCACCAACCTCATTAGGGTATGTTGTGAATGACTGCTTGTAGTTGGATGTTAAAGTATTTCTATTTTCAGTTATTAAAGTATAAAGAGAATCTCCAATCATTTCAAATATCATTCAGTCGACATCGGCTAAGCTTGAATGATCGACTGGATATATTAGGAGATGAAGCCGACAGCTTCATATTTCCTTTCACGTTATTTGATGAAAAATTAAAAGTGTGTTCTATTAAAGCTCTAAGCTTATATCGTAATTGTCCAATAATGTTTGTTGTTGAACGAAAATTTGATAATGATAATATGCTAATTAAGTTTGAAGAAAAGGATATTTTCCTATTCTCACAAGCTTATACAAGCAGCCTGATTCATGGATTCAAAAAGCATGCCGTATAAATATGTAAATGATATTAAATAAAAATATTGATATATGTATCTATATATATATATATATCTTTATATGATTTATATTAACTTTACAATATGTTTTGTACACGAGATGAACACGACCGCTCACACATAATAGTTGTTAAGAATGAAATATGGATGCACGACCGCTCATCGCTTGTTGCATGCAAGTAAAAATGGAAAATGTACGAAAAGCAATACGGCCATCAGTTTACTGGATGAAAAAGATGTTCTTAGTGCTTCTTCTCTTCATGATGATGATGATCTTAATATATAATTTGCATATTTAGTTAACTATTATTGAAATATATACCTCCGTGCTTGGATCCACAGCATTTGGAGTTTTCGATGCATTTGCAGCTGTTTTCGGTACATTGGCAGTCATCGCCGCAGGTACAGTTATCTCCACATTTGCAGTCTGAATAATAAGTTTGTTATAGTTAGTATAGTTAAAGAGTAATCTTACTTGGGCAGGCCATTGTTAGTTGTTCAGAGGCAAATTTTCTGATGAAAAAACGATGAATTTGAACGGCTTTTATATGCTTAAAAAGAGGGTGGGGGCTAGAGGGGGGATGGGGATAAGATAGTAAACAAGCAAGACTAGAACGGGTGCTGAGAGGCAGTGGGTCTAATGGGTATTGGAAGAGATATGATAAAGAGAAACATCCTATATGTATATATAAGAGAGAGAAAAAAAGAAAAAGACGAAGTGAGAGGCAATTCTAGTTTGTGCCTTCTACCTTGTACCTTCCCAACTATAAAGTTTGTCTAGAAGTTTTTGAATTTAATCGTTTAAGCCCAAATGGAAATAAGTTTTTTTAGTTTTCATCATCTTCCTCTACCCACTCCCCTCCCCTCCAGATGTTTTCACTTCTTCTTCTTCTTCCTTCATATGTTTTATTTTTATATATTTCTATTTGGAGATTAGAATTTCAAAAAAATAACTGGATACAACAACGTCTTCCTCCACCATCACCAACACCACCACCATCAGCATCAGCAGCAGCACCACTCCTCTGTTACGCAAATATCAAATTCATATATGAGATAATCTCGCGAGACTCGTTATCCACCATGCGTCGTCGTCTTGATTCATTTTATTTTTTTGTATTTGAATGACCGGTTATGCTCAAGTTTGTCATTCTTTTTTGATTTCTCTTACTTCCGTCATCCTTTCAGTTCGCCATTCCGCCAAAACGAACTATGCGTAACCCAGGTGGGCAGGGGGAAGTTGGCCCTTGTTATCAAGTCACAAACTCCACACTATAAAGATTTCAAAAGATTTTTATCAACAAGATTGTTATTTTTACATCCACATGACTAGAAGATACTCATTTGGTCATGTTGCAGCCAATTACTTTCGATGTTTGAACTTGGAAGCATCTATCTCTCCCTCTATCTTTCCCTCTCTCTCTCTCTGTCTTGGTCAGACAGGGCTGATAGTCTGTCTGAGACAAACTTTTGCTTTATACGAAGGATATTTCGAATTAGAATGCACCGAAAGAAGAGATTAGAATGAAAGTGAGAAGGTATTGGATAAGATGACTGTTGAGAGAGAGAGAGAGAGAGAAGCTATCCCTCTCTCTATCTCGTATCTAAGTGATGAAAGGGAAAAAAAAAACTTTTTTTCTTCCACTCTTGAATGTCTTTGTTTCAACCAATATCTCAGTTGTCTATTCCAAGTATTCAACACGTACAGTTTATCAACAAAGCCACTCAGCAATATGACATCTTCCGCAAAGGAAACGAAAAAGTCGTTGGAAGGCCATGTAGTTTCACTGAACAAGAGGAGATGTAAACGAAAAAAATCTTTCTTATTTGCAAAAAACTAATTTTGTGAACGGCTATTAACCTTTAAAGGCTTATTGATTAAGCTATTATATATTCCCTCACTCGACAGACATCCCTTGATGGAAGAAACTAGACAGGAAATATCTAAGCTTAAGATCTCCATAGACTGTCACGTCGGCTAACAACATGTGCTCTATTGCGAATTGTTGATTCGAATCAATCAATAAACAAAGAAAAAACAGTTATTCATATTTATTATTTTGTGATTTAGAGAGCTTCTTCTTCGTTTT